ATGTGAAGCGTCTGCAACGGGGCCTCTGTCGGAGGAAACTGGGAGGAGTGAGGGGCAGCACGCTGGCGCCCCTCAACACAAGGGACACAGGTGGGGCCAGGGCCCGGAGGAAGGGGAGGGAGAGACCGGGGAAGACCAGACACAAGGACTCGCGAGGCCATGCCTCTGAGCCGAAGCAGAGAGGGGTGGCCAAGGCGGTGGTGCCAGAGGAGGGTCTCTTGAGACAGACGACGGCACGAGCAGGGGGCAGACTCAGGACCAGACCTGGACGCTGCAGCAAACACCTGACCAGACGAAGTGACCCTACCAGACTCAGCACCTGGAGGAGAAGCAGTGGTCAGAGTGTACAGGCTCGACCCTGGCCGACGTGTAAACGTAGCCAGGTGGCGACCTGTATCCGCCTCCGTGCAGTGGGTCACCCGCTGACGAGCAGGGGTGAACTGGTGGACACCCCCATCCTGGAGGTCAGCACCACTCACCAAGTTCGTCGAGAACGAGGGGAGGTAAAGACCAGTCAGGGTGCCAGAGGGGGCCGCCGGACACGGGAGGACAGTGGAGAAGCGAGCCAGGACAGGCCCCCCAGAGGGGTCAGCCAGGGACACCGCAACCGGCCGACTCAGCGGCGTGAGAGTGGTGCGGTCCCGAAAGAAGGAGCGAGACGCTCCAGAGTCAAGGGTGAAGGTGTGAGAGGCCGAAGCCGACACAGTACCTGAGAAGGCAGACTCACCAGCACCTGAGAGCACAGACGCACTGGCACCTAGAGCAGCAGCCTCACTAGTACCTGACGCGGCAGTACCAATGCCCGGGTCGGGCGGGAAACACCGGTAACAGTCATCCTCATCACTACCAATCGCAGCATACATAGCAGAGAGAATAGCATCAAAATCAAGATCATAAATAGCTACACCAGCCCTAGACAGCTCTCCCCAGCGGGGGATCTCAGCTGCCTCCGGAAACTGCTGACGCCAGGCGTCAGTCAGGCGGCCAAAGCAGCGGCGGGCAGTGTGGGCGCCTCCACACCTCTCCCCTGCACGGTCACCGGTGCGGAGAACGTAGGGGCAAGGACCAAGCGCACCACCACGCTGACGCTGCGAGTACCACTCACGGAGCTGCTGAGGGGCGGGGACGGTGCGAGAGCGCTGCTGCTGCTGTGGCTGCTGCTGCGGCTGCTGCTGCTGCTGCTGCTGGCGCTGACCACCCCCGGAGCTGCTCCGCTGGGACGAGCCACTCCGACCCCCGCCTCCACTGCCACCCCCGCCTCCACCGCCACCCCCGTCTCCACCTCCACCTCCCCCACCAGGACCGTCGCTCCCACCGCTCCCACCGCCTCCTCCGCTACCACCTCCGCCGCCACCTCCGCCTCCACCGCCGCCACCAGTACCTCCACTCCCGCCACCACCCCCACCGCCACCCCCACTCCCCCCGCCACCCCCACCGCCTCCTCCACCGCCCCCTCTAGCTCCACCCGCTCCCTTGCCCCCCTTGCCCTTGCCAGCGCGGCGTCTGCCGCTGGGGGCAGACGCCGCGCCGACCGACTCAAAACCAGTGAGGTCGGCCGCAGCGGCAGAGGCGACAGAGGGCAGCAGGGGGGAAGGACCACACCCCTCAAAGATGGGGGTGCGAGGGTCACCCCGAGAGGCCCCTACAGCGACAATACTCTTCTCAGCCGCTAGCAGGGACTCCTCAAGGAGGTCGACAGTGAGAGTGGTGGGACAGACAGAGAGAAACTGGTCCCTAACGACACGAAGGGACTCAGGGAGACGGGTGACGAGAAAGTAGAGAGTGATGTACATGGGAGGAGGGTTCGCAGCGCGGAACTCAGCAGGAAGGGCAGCGCGGTAGCGGGTGTCACTAGCACGGAGGTGGGTAACGAGGTCAGCGACAGTGGGAAAGGAAGCGAGGTCAGGGAAGAGAAACGGTAGCATGAGGCGGCTAAGGGTAGCGGAGGAAGGGGAGGAGTAGCGTGCAACTACAGCGTCGTACAAGGCCTGAGCGGTCTTGCACTGACTAAAGTGGGCACGCTCAGAGGAAGGGAGGTGGCGACGCACAGCAAGACGTGCAGCAGCATCGCGGGTCGCCCACTTGGAGCGAACGGCAGAGTCAGCATCAGCAGGTGGGGCAGGGACAGCGCCAGAGACAAAGTCAAAGAGAGAGACCTCATCTATCGCATCACACAGTAAGTACAGCTGCAGGTCTTCAATCCAGACGGCAAAGTCAATGGCCCTCCCCTCAGCGTCAAAGGTAAGAACATTGGGGGTGGCCATGACAGCAGCTGAAAATCTCACCGGGCTGGGAGAGGCGGGTAGGTCAGCAGCAGAGGAACAGCAGAACGGCTCCGCAGGCGGCTCGGGCGGCGCAGGCGGCTCGGGCGGCACGGGCGGCTCGGCGGCGGCTCGGGCGGCGGCTCGGTGGCGGCTCGGCGGCGACTCGGCGGCGGCTCGGCGGCGGCTCAGGCGGCGGCGGCTCGGCGGCGGCTCGGCTGCTGCTGGGCGGCGCGGGCGGCTCGGGCGTCACGGGCGGCTCGGCGGCGGCTCGGGCGGCACGGGCGACTCGGCGGCGGCTCGGGCGGCGGCTCGGCGGCGGCTCGGCGGCAGCTTGGCGGCGGCTCGGCGGCGGCTCGGCGGCGGCTCGGCGGTGGCTCAAGCGGCGGCGGTTGCTGCTGGGCGGATCGGCGGGGCCGCGTAGCAGAGTGGCGGCGGGGCCGCGACCGAAGAGAGCGGCGGGGCCGCGTAGCAGAGGGCGGCGGGGCCGCGTAGCAGAGGGCGGCGGGGCCGCGTAGCAGAGGGCGGCGGGGCCGCTACCGAAGAGAGCGGCGGGGCCGCGTAGCCGGGGGCGGCGGGGCCGCGTAGCAGAGGGCGGCGGGGCCGCGTAGCAGAGGGCGGCGGGGCCGCGATCGAAGGGCGGCGGGGCCGCGTAGCAGAGGGCGGCGGGGCCGCGTAGCAGAGGGCGGCGGGGCCGCGTGGCAAAGGGCGGCGGGGCCGCGATCGAAGGGCGGCGGGGCCGCGTAGCAGAGGGCGGCGGGGCCGCGTAGCAGAGGGCGGCGGGGCCGCGTAGCAGAGGGCGGCGGGGGCCGCGAGGCAGAGGGCGGCGGGGGCCGCGTGGAGAAGGGCGGCGCAACGGTCCGCTAGGGGCGACACGACGGGTCGCTGAAAAAAAAAAAAAAAAAACGCGCCTCGGGGCGCGGTTCGGTGGGCCCTAGAAGCAGTCCCTAGGAGGGAACCTGCTCTGATTCCATGTGGAAACAAAGAACGAGAATGAAATGACTATGAACGAAGTGAGTACAAATAGGAAACCCTAATTGGGTTGTACCCCCTATGGCATACCCCACTATAGCCTACAGAAACAAGTAAGCTATATGTTCTGACACGCTAGGCCCTTGTTCTTTTTATTTTGTCCACGCTATGCCCTTGTTCTTTTTATTTTGCACACGCTAGGCCCTTGTTCTTTTCATTTTGCACACGCTAGGCCCTTGTTCTTGCTATTTTGCACACGCTATGCCCTTGTTCTTTTTATTTTGCACACGCTAGGCCGTTGTTCTTGCTATTTTGCACATGCTAGACCCTTGTTCTTTTTATTTTGCACACGCTAGGCCCTTGCTCCTGCTATTTTGCACTCGCTAGGCCCTTGTTCTTGCAATTTTGCACACGCTAGGCCCTTGTTCTTGCAATTTTGCACACGCTAGGCCCTTGTTCTTTTTATTTTGCACACGCTAGGCCCTTGTTCTTTTTATTTTGCACACGCTAGGCCCTTGTTCTTTTTATTTTGCACACGCTAGGCCCTTGTTCTTTTCATTTTGCACACGCTAGGCCCTTGTTCTTGCTATTTTGCACACGCTATGCCCTTGTTCTTTTTATTTTGCACACGCTAGGCCCTTGTTCTTGCAATTTTGCACATGCTAGACCCTTGTTCTTTTTATTTTGCACACGCTAGGCCCTTGTTCTTGCTATTTCGCGAACCCTAGGCCCTTGTTCTTGATTTTTTGCACACGCTAAGCCCTTGCTCTTGCTATTTTGCACTCGCTTGGCCCTTGTTCTTGCAATTTTGCACACGCTAGGCCTTTGTTCTTGCAGTTTTGCACACGCTAGGCCCTTGTTCTTTTTATTTTGCACACGCTAGGCCCTTGTTCTTTTTATTTTGTCCACGCTATGCCCTTGTTCTTTTTATTTTGCACACGCTAGGCCCTTGTTCTTTTCATTTTGCACACGCTAGGCCCTTGTTCTTGCTATCTTGCACACGCTATGCCCTTGTTCTTTTTATTTTGCACACGCTAGGCCCTTGTTCTTGCAATTTTGCACATGCTAGACCCTTGTTCTTTTTATTTTGCACACGCTAGGCCCTTGTTCTTGCTCTTTCGCGAACGCTATGCCCTTACTCTTGATTTTTTGCACACGCTAGGCCCTTGCTCTCGCTATTTTGCACTCGCTAGGCCCTTGTTCTTGCAATTTTGCACACGCTAGGACCTTGTCCTTGCAATTTTGCACACGCTAGGCCCTTGTTCTTTTTATTTTGCACACGCTAGGCCCTTGTTCTTTTTATTTTGCACACGCTATGCCCTTGTTCTTTTTAATTTGCACACGCTAGGCCCTTGTTCTTTTTATTTTGCACACGCTAGGCCCTTGTTCTTTTTATTTTGCACACGCTAGGCTCTTGTTCTTGCTATTTTGCACACGCTATGCCCTTGTTCTTTTTATTTTGCACACGCTAGGCCCTTGTTCTTGCAATTTTGCACATGCTAGACCCTTGTTCTTTTTATTTTGCACACGCTAGGCCCTTGCTCCTGCTATTTTGCACTCGCTAGGCCCTTGTTCTTGCAATTTTGCACACGCTAGGCCCTTGTTCTTGCAATGTTGCACACGCTAGGCCCTTGTTATTTTTATTTTGCACACGCTAGGCCCTTGTTCTTTTTATTTTGCACACGCTAGGCCCTTGTTCTTGCTATTTTGCACACGCTATGCCCCAGTTCTTTTTATTTTACACACGCTAGGCCTTTGTTCTTGCAATTTTGCACACACTAGGCCCTTGCTCTTGCTATTTCGCGAACGTTAGGTCCTTGTTCTTGATTGTTTGCACACGCTAGGCCCTTGCTCTTGCTGTTTTGCACTCGCTAGGCCCTTGTTCTTGCAATTTTGCACACGCTAGGCCCTTGTTTTTGCAATTCTGCACACGCTAGGCCCTTGTTCTTTTTATTTTGCACACGCTAGGCCCTTGTTCTTTTTATTTTGCACACGCTAGGCCCTTGTTCTTGCTATTTTGCACACGCTATGCCCCAGTTCTTGTTATTTTACACACGCTAGGCCCTTGTTCTTGCAATTTAGCACATGCTAGACCCTTGTTCTTTTTATTTTGCACACACTAGGCCCTTGCTCTTGCTATTTCGCGAACGCTAGGCCCTTGTTTTTGCTATTTTGCACACGCTATGCCCTTGTTCTCTTTATTTGGCATACGCTTGGCCCTTGTTCTTGCAATTTTGCACATGCTAGACCCTTGTTCTTTTTATTTTGCACACGCTAGGCCCTTGCTCTTGCTATTTCGCGAACGCTAGGCCCTTGTTCTTGATTTTTTGCACACGCTACGCCCTTGCTCTTGCTATTTTGCACTCGCTAGGCCCTTGTTCTTGCAATTTTGCACACGCTAGGCCCTTGTTCTTGCAATTTTGCACACGCTAGGCCCTTGTTCTTTTTATTTTGCACACGCTAGGCCTTTGTCCTTTTTCTTTTGCACACGCTATGCCCTTGTTCTTTTTATTTTGCACACGCTAGGCCCTTGTTCTTTTTTATTTTGCACACGCTAGGCCCTTGTTCTTGCTATTTTGCACACGCTATGCCCTTGTTCTTTTTATTTTGCACACGCTAGGCCCTTGTTCTTGCAATTTTGCACATGCTAGACCCTTGTTTTTTTTATTTTGCACACGCTAGGCCCTTGTTCTTGCAATTTTGCACATGCTAGACCCTTTTTCTTTTTATTTTGCACACGCTAGGCCCTTGCTCCTGCTTTTTTGCACTCGCTAGGCCCTTGTTCTTGCAATTTTGCACACGCTAGGCCCTTGTTCTTGCAATTTTGCACACGCTAGGCCCTTGTTAATTTTATTTTGCACACGATAGGCCCTTGTTCTTTCTATTTTGCACACGCTATGCCCCAGTTCTTTTTATTTTACACACGCTAGGCCCTTGTTCTTGCAATTTTGCACTTGCTAGACCCTTGTTCTTTTTATTTTGCACACACTAGGCCCTTGCTCTTGCTATTTCGCGAACGCTAGGCCCTTGTACTTGATTTTTTGCACACGCTAGGCCCTTGCTCTTGCTATTTTGCACTCGCTAGGCCCTTGTTCTTGCAATTTTGCACACGCTAGGCCCTTGTTCTTTCAATTTTGCACACGCTAGGCCCTTGTTCTTTTTATTTTGCACACGCTAGGCCCTTGTTCTTTCTATTTTGCACACGCTATGCCCTAGTTCTTTTTATTTTGCACACGCTGGGCCCTTGTTCTTGCAATTTTGCACATGCTAGACCCTTGTTCTTTTTATTTTGCACACACTAGGCCCTTGCTCTTGCTATTTCGCGAACGCTAGGCTATTGTTCTTGATTTTTTGCACACGCTAGGCCCTTGCTCTTGCTATTTTGCACTCGCTAGGCCCTTGTTCTTGCAATTTTGCACACGCTAGGCCCTTGTTCTTTCAATTTTGCACATGCTAGGCCCTTGTTCTTTGTATTTTGCACACGCTAGGCCCTTGTTCTTGCAATTTTGCACACGCTAGGCCCTTGTTCTTGCTATTTTGCATACGCTATGCCCTTGTTCTTTCTATTTTGCACACGCTAGGCCCTTGTTCTTGCAATTTTGCACATGCTAGACCCTTGTTCTTTTTATTTTGCACACGCTAGGCCCTTGTTCTTGCTATTTCGCGAACGCTAGGCCCTTGTTCTTGATTTTTTGCACACGCCAGGCCCTTGCTCTTGCTATTTTGCACTCGCTAGGCCCTTGTTCTTGCAATTTTGCACACGCTAGGCCCTTGTTCTTGCAATTTTGCACACGCTAGGCCCTTGTTCTTTTTATTTTGCACGCGCTAGGCCCTTATTCTTTTTATTTTGCACACGCTAGAACCTTGTTCTTGCTATTTTGCACACGCTATGCCCTTGTTCTTTTTATTTTGCACACGCTTGGCCCTTGTTCTTGCAATTTTGCACATGCTAAACCCTTGTTCTTTTTATTTTGCACACGCTAAGCCCGTGCTCTTGCTATTTCGAGAACGCTACGCCTTTGTTCTTGATTTTTTGCACACGCTAGGCCCTTGTGCTTGCTATTTCGCGAACGATAGGCCCTTGTTCTTGATTTTTTGCACACGCCAGGCCCTTGCTCTTGCGATTTTGCACTCGCTAAGCCCTTGTTCTTGCAATTTTGCATACGCTAGGCCCTTGTTCTTGCAATTTTGCACACGCTAGGCCCTTGTTCTTTTTATTTTGCACGCGCTAGGCCTTTGTTCTTTTTATTTTGCACAGGCTAGGCCCTTGTTCTTGCTATTTTGCACACGCTATGCCCTTGTTCTTTTTATTTTGCACACGCTTGGCCCTTGTTCTTGCAATTTTGCACATGCTAGACCCTTGTTCTTTTAATTTTGCATACACTAGGCCCTTGCTCTTGCAATTTTGCACACGCTAGGCCCTTGTTCTTTTTATTTTGCACGCGCTAGGCC